AGTGTTGTTTCAGTACATGTGCTGATTGGGTACCAGGACTGTGCAAGTGACTGTGGCAGGTAGAGGCGTGCAAATTCAAACGTAAAAATCCAACACTTTCGTCGCTCCATTTGAAATAGGAAACCAAACTTCTGTAGATTGAAATGTGTTTGTTTTGAGCCGTGCCCCTCAACTGGGATGTAGCAATTTGCGGTTGGAGTAGATAATAGATAATTCGATTTATACAACCATTCAAAATACGTTTTTTTTCTGTCAGAACATGATAAAACAACAGAACAGAGTTGTCCAGAAATACAATCATTTGATCCTAGCCAGCATTGCCAGAAGTGAAGGACCTCCACAATGGCAGCCAGAGGGGGCATTTTACAAATGCTGAAAGGCTTCTCTCTATACAGGAGACACTGGGTGTGGTGGCAGAAAGGGTTTTTGTAAAGGCTCTCCCGGTGAAATGGTGGGAGATTCCAGCTCACCCTCAAATATCTACATGGCTCAGCATAGACCTAAACATGGACCCTCTAACGGGTTCTCGCCAAAACAAAAATCTAAACAAATGTACAAAAGGAAGCAAACATTGGGGATTAACCTCTTCCACAAACAGACCAGCCTGGTTCTCCACTCACAGGTTACTGGAGAGAACAAACACAAAACAGGGGTCTGAGAAAAAGCGCAAGAAACAAAAAACTTTCAAGCAAAAGCAACAGAGAAAAAGACAGAAAGAGAAACAAAACAGAACTAAACATTCACTTTGGCATACATGTGGGATAATACACATGCACGCGCACACGCTCTCTCTCGCACACGTGCACACAGTCAGAGGTACAGTGAACAAAAGTGCTTCAAGTTGGGGAAGTAACTGAACTAACCCTGTAGAAATACATATAAAACCTTAAATATGTTACTTTATGTACAAAAACCTGTAACAGGGGCCAATATCTTAACTGTTTATATATTTTTCAAGTAGGTATCACTGCTTAATATTAAGGGTTTGCATTGTCATTGTTTTCGTGATAAAAGGTCGTGTGATATGACTGACCTTGCCGGCAAAGTAATCAATCACTGCTGATTTTTGTTAAATCTCCTCCATCCCAAACTCCTGTCGCTAACTTTTTCTTTTTTTTCTAACACAAAGTCCCGGGGAATCCCTCCACGTCTTTACCTCGTCTTTCTTAATCTTTACTCTGAGAAAGAATATTGTGAATATTCCTCTGTTTTTTCGAATCTTTAAATCTTAACATAGAAAATATATATATTTATAAATGTCTTAGTTTAGCAACTTGGTGTCCGAAAATGAATACAAGTAAGGATTTGGCTGCAGAACCATAGTTTAGGGGTGATTCAACAATGAAGGTGTGTTTGTGCATCTATAAGTGTAAGTGTGTGTGTGTGTGTGTACTTGGGGGTGTCAGAGTTATGCACTGCACAACAGAAACAAAAAAAAGGTGGAACTGTTTATATTTTGAAGAGGCACAAAGATTCATGTGGCTTAGAGGCAAATCACAGACAAAGTCTACGAGTCATAGTTTCCTAGAGAATGGGTGAGACGGAGCATAAAGTGCAAAAGACCTACCAGAGGAGAGGGGAAATAATGGGATCTCTAGGACAGCAGCAAAGAATCGAAAAAAAGATGACGCTATTTAAGCTCAAGCCAAAAACAAAATAAATTTAGAAATAAATAAAGTCATTTAACACTGCAAGGACCTAATGACGACAACAAAATACTCCAAATTGTTCTGCTCCAACCTTCTCTCTACCTCCACCAATCCGTCGCTCTTCTGTGCAGTCACCAAAAAGCAATAAAAAAGGAGTAAAAAGGTTTGTTTTTTTGCCTCTAAACTCAGATGAACCAAAGGCCTCTGCAAAGTGCAAACCGTGTAGCGTTGTTCAAGTATGCCGCTGTGATAATGCGTGACCACACAGACATATGCATGTACACATATGTGCATGACGGCAAATATATATAAAATCCATGTTCCATTATTTACGAACTACAAACACTGTCATAGTATTTCCATGGACACGTGATCATCAGATGTGTGTGCGTTGTATATCTTAACGTTAACTTGTGTCTCTCATTTATCTCATAACTACACACAAATGGAATATTACAAACGGTCATGTGACTCCATATGGTTTTTATGATTAATTCCCACTAATGTCAGATTCCTCCGTCTATAAACTATTTCTGCGTCTTTTTCTTTTCCTTTACTATTAGCACTGCTGCAAAAATGGGACCAGCCACAATCGCCTTAAGCCACTACAAATATATGTATGTATATAGTATCCACTCTCTCTCTCACACACACACACACTCAAGATTCCCTTGCACACACGTCTAAATTTGGTAACAAAAAAAGAGGGCAAAATCAGGTGCTACCAGTAGGGGGGGGAAATGGGGACTAAAGAAAAACACAGCTGCAATCTCTTTCATTGCCGCCCAAAATAAAGCAAGATGCTGCTACATATTGGAACTACAACATACTCCTCTACCTCCTCCTCCTCTTTCCCCCATCGTCCCTGATTACTCATTTGGACCTTATCAAAGATAAGCATGCTCAGCTAAATGCAAAGACACAACAAGCCAAAAAAAAAAAAAAAAAAAAAAAACCCAAACAAAACGAGTAAATCAAAACAAGATAAACAAATAAAACAAGACCATAGTTCGACAGGAAAATAAAATGCTAACCAGTAACATCCATCAATTATCAAACTGAAACCTTACTAAACCCAGGAGTTTGTAACTATATCAAATAACAGTAAATTACCCCCCAAAAATAAATGTATCCGTCTCACTGGATGGGGAAAAAATTAGGAAAAAATTTTTTCAATGAAGTCTGTCTCCGTTCACACAGAGTAGTCGACCTATCACCACAACCATCTGAATGCGTGGTTCTCGCGTGGAGGAGTCTGGGGGACAAAAGAGCGAGGTAAGAGTATGTGGGTGGGATTAGAACCCAAAAGCACTGGAGCTGCAAAGAAGAACACACACAATCTTCAACGTAAACTACGGCACTCCTTTGGCGTGATTTTCTTTTTTTCTTTTTAAATCATCTTCAAGAGATGCTCCGATGCCTGGTCGGGTTTTTTTATCAGTTCTGTTTCATGATGAGCAGTTGTGTGTGTGCATGTAAAGGAGACAAGTGGGTGGAGGCTATTTTATGGAGGGCTGTTGTAGGGGTTGGGGTTGGGTTGGATTCGGGGCGGTGGGAGGTCATTGCTCCACACAGTTCAATAAAGAGCACCGGCGACTCCATTACTCCCAGCCGTTGTCCTTGATCATGTGAGCCAGCTCGATGATGAACTTTCCCTCTTTGTATTTCTGACTGCTCTCGAAGGCGTGCTCCTGTAAAGAAGAAAAAAAAAAACCTCTGTTATGTGTCAAAAGAAATTAAAAACAATGACTTGACATTTAAATGTGCCTAACTATATTTTGCAATGCACAGTAAATACACACAAAAAAGTCCCTGTCTTATGCTTTGTTCAGTTATTTTACAGACTTCCTTGGTCATTTCAGACATTTACCAGGACAGGACCATTGAAAATGGGCCTGACATTTAATCACTGTAGACTCTCAGAGGAACCAGTCTGGCTGTCTGTGGCCAACCTTCTCAGCTCTGTAATTATCTTGTGTGCTAGGAGACCACCGAGTGTCCAACTGCTGAGCCTAAACACAAACCTGAACAAAAAGTGGCAATGCTTTAATGAGAGCAACCATGTTCTCCTGACCCGTAACTCTGTGATTTGTACTTTCAGAGGCTAACTAACGACTAGCGGTGCAGCAGTGCGGAGTCAGGTGTGAGAACATGTACGGGCGCTCGAGTGAAAGTACAAACAGAGGAGAGGAAACTTACATATTTCCAGCCCAGAGTGGTTTTACAGTTTTCACAGTAGATGTCAGCCACAGCATGTAAACCTGTGAGGAGTACCCGCTCCTCAGCTGGCCCGCAGCCGACATTCACCCTGTGGGGAAGACAGATGGTTGAGGAAAAGGTCCCAGAGGTCGGGGAGGAGTTGGAGTCATTTCATATCACAGTGAGACCAGTATTAGTAGTAAAACAGTTCTCTTTGAACTATTGTATTGCTATAAATTATGTTAACTAGAATAGCATGGTATAAGCAATAACCAATAAATATTTGACCATTAATATGTTAGGTTTGTTTTGGTAATCTAATTTAAGTTGAGAAAGTTGAGCAAAAGCCTCCAGTCTCCATCCACTGTAGCAGAACCATTAGCATGTAAGCTAACCACAACTAACATGAGCTAAAACAACATGTCTGTTCTGGATGTTATTTACCTTTGTCAGAACAGATAAATTGACTAGCTTCAAGAGCTTCAAGGAGTTAGCCATGAAGTACAACACATTTGGAATTGAATTACACTCTGAAAAAAAAACAAATTCTTCTCTTCACTTCTTCTTTCTAAAGGTTTTAGAAATGTTGTTTTTGGTTCCATCAAACCTCAGCATCTGTTTTCCTGAGGTCAACATAAACAAAATGTGCTTAATGAAAAAAAAAATTATACTGTGCATCCTGAGTCTCAGCTAGCATTTGACCCTGAGCTCATGTTAAACTAAAACAAGGACATAATTCAAAATCACCACAACCTTCACATGAAAGTGTTGGAAAAAAATTAAGTTGCCCAAAATAGCAACACAATATTGTCTTGCTGTTAAAGAGCACCGGGGGGAAGAACTGTAACTCTTCTGTGGTTAGTGACATCAGTGTTGGTTTTTCTCCCTTGCTAAATACTAGCTCAACTTCCCAGTAAAACACTGTCGGTTAGCTAAGTGGTATTTAAATTAAAGTAACAACAAGGACTAATTACTTCATTCTTCCATGTATCCATCCAAAGTTCGTATAAAAGCCGTTAAATTGTTTGCTCCGAACACTGTAACTGACTGCTCTCTAGCCTAATGCTGCTTTCACAGTGGGCATGTTTGAGATTATTTATTCTGCCTTTACTGCCTGCTTTCTTTTAGTTTTCTCTACCAGGTGAGAACAGTAATTACACACTGCAGTGGTAAGAAACAGTAGCTCTGTGACACTTGAAAATGTCTACAGCCTCTAGAGGTGAAGTAACTTCTGTGAGCTTCATTAAAACCAAGAGTCGAGCCTTAAAGAAACAAAACATGTTCCGACCAGTCAAGAAACAAAATGCCAAGCATTACGGGGCTTGAAGTAAGTGATCCCAGACTCCAGTTTTTCTCCAGCATGGACTTAAACACAACACTGCTGAAATAGTTTGAGAAAAAAAAAAAAAGGAAATTTTTTTTAGGACTTTTTCAGAAAAACCCTGATTTTGGTTAAGATGGTAAAAAATTATGATTTATTTTATTTTTTTTTATTTTATTTGATCTTTTCTGCATGTTTCTTATCAAAATATAGCATTTTGAAAATAAAATAAAACTTGTTTTGGGGAAATTGTCGGCGAACCCCTAATTTTTGGTCAGATGCTAAAAAAAAATGTCGAAAATCTTTGAAAAAACGATTCAAAATTTGATCTTTTCTGCATGTTTCTTATCAAAATATAGCATTCTGAAAAATTTTATAAAATTTTTAAAAATTTTGACAACATTAATTTTTGGTCAGATGTCAAAAACCTTTTAGTTTGTCATTAAAATATAGCCTTTTGAAAAAGGTTTTAGGTAAATTTTGTTTTTGGAATTTTTCAGCAAAACCCTAATTTTGGGCTCAGATGTTAAAAAAATGTATTGAAAGTTTTTGAAAACAAAAATTCAAAATTACATCTATTCTGCATGCTTCTCATCAAAATATAGCATTTTGAAAAATTGAAGATTCTTTTGGGGAATCTTTCGACAAAACCCTCATTTCCGGTCAGATCACAAATTATGATCAAAATTTTGGAAAACAAATTCAAATGTTTATCATTTCTGCATGTTTGTCATCAAAATATAGCATTTTAAAAAATAATTATGGCAAAACCCTAATTTTTGGTTATGATTTCAAAAAAATTATGATGAGATTTTTGAAAACGAAAATTCAAAATGGTATAATTTCTGCATGTTTGTCATTAAAATATAGCCTTTTGAAAAAGATTTTAGGTAAATTTTGTTTTTGGAATTTTTCCAGCTAAACCCTAATTTTGGGAACAGATGGTGAAAAACTATGATGAAAATTTTTGAATAAAATTGTATCCACAAAATGTTTCTTTTCCCCATCTGAGTGACCAAATTAGTTATTCAGAATAATCTGTAAAAATTATGTTGTAACATTGCTGAAATCCTTGGGTTTTTGTGAAAATATGAACTCACACTGCTCCTCACTCTAAACCACTGTTTCAACATTTCAAGTGAATGCATTTAACATTTTCAAACTTGGACGAGGAACCTTTTTGGAAGAATTTCTCAACATGTGTAAAGTGTTAAGAAAACTAAAAATAAAGCAGCAGCAGCTGAAGGTAGAAGAAAGAACAAAACTTTCTTTTAAATGCAACACAAACCAGGTTTCTAACAAATGTGAGTCATTTTGTGTCTTGTTTACCAAACCTCCACAAAGGTTCCACGTTAGATAAAATTGCGAGACTGGTACTTACACTGAATTAAACAGGTAGGCTCTTCCTTGACTCCCTTGAAATGACTGAAACATGAAAGAGAGAAAAAAAAAAGAAATCAGACTAATTGACCATAATTGACCACAAAAACCTAGACCCAGCTGCGGTGTACAAGAATGACGCCCTGAGGCGTCTTTTTTTTTTTTTTTTTTTTTTTTTACAAAAAGACTTGTTTCTCCACTTCTGCACCATTCCCACACTCAAATGGCTGGAGGTAGCTCCATGAAAGGATGCTCGCAAAAAAAAAAAATTTACCAGCCGTTTGTTATCATGTCAAATTGAAGGATAATTGAAAACTGTTAAGAAGAAATAACCTTGTATCCCCGTCTTTTGTTGACAGGCACTGCTTTCAGAAATATTTAATAAGTTTGAGGAAAACTCTCTGTAGTAAAATCCAGGAGACCAAGAAAATGTCAAAATAGTATTTTTATATACTGTATGTATATACATATGAAAATATACATGAAAAAATATAGACACTAAACTGAGCCTTGAAACACCCTTAAATTAAGTGGAGAACTGCAATTCAATACTACAATACTTCAATACTAATGTCCCCACAACACTTTTTTTTTTAATGTCCCCACACTATAGCTACACCAAGAACACACACACACGTTCAGATTAGGTTCATGCTGTAAAACACACACTGACAGTTTAAACACCCTGTAGAGATTTTCTAACAAACAAATACTGGTTTCTTTCCATTCCCTCTAAGTTACAGCCACATCCTTCAGGCACTGCAGAAATACAGTATGTGAGACATTAGACCAGGATTAGGATTACACCTATGTTAATGTCTGATCAGTTCTGTGCAGAGAACGAGGCTGTGCCTCACCAATAACTTGAAATATCAGTCTATCCTGTCTGTATAGCTCTGAACAATTCCCGACCGTGGCAGTGATGTGGCCGATCTGGGTACCGTGTCTTATTGCAAGTTCATAAGTTCACGCCAACATCCTTGTCTCAAAATCAAAATCATGATAAAATGCGTTTCAGAAGCAGAACCAGACTGAATTTTGTTTCTTTTGTCTTAAAATACTTAGTTAAAACATAATGGGTCGATTTTCTGGAAGTACATACTTGTATTTCCATTTGAAAAAGTGAAGTGAAAAAAAATAGACCATGTCACTGTGATCTGAAGTAATTTGACAATCACTTCAGATCACAGTGACATGGTTTGTTATTCACGTCTTTTTACATTATTTTCTTCTTGTTATTACTGCGTGCCTCGGGTGGGTGATGTGTGTCAGCACATGGTGTAAATGGAGGGTTGTGGGCTCAGTTCCAGCCTCAGTAAGTCCTTATGTCACTCTGACATGGCTTTTTTCTGTCAACAGGCAAAAATTCCAATTTTTACCTTTTCTGCATGTATCTCAAAATATAGCATTTTGAGAAATTTTTGGGAAACATTTTTTTTTTAATTTTTCATTAATTTTTGGGCAGATGTTGAAAAATTGTAATGGAAATTTTTGAAACCAAAAATTCACAAATTTATCTGTTATACATGTTTCTTGACAACATTTTAGCATTTTGAATTTTTTTTGGCAAAAAAAAGATTTTTGGCAAAACCATAATATATGGTTAGACGTTGAAAAATTGTGATGAGAATCTGAAAAAAAAAGTCAAAATGTTATATTTTCTACATGTTTCTCATAAAGACTATTGGTTACCAAAAGTATAAAAATACTACACAGATACTTTTTAACCACTTTTTACCACACTTTAAATTCTAAAAAATTAAAGTCTAAAAAACAAACAATGAGTGTTGACCACAACAAAGCAATAAAAGGACAATTACTTTATATAGAAGTGATTAACACAGACTGTAACCCTAAAGCCTGGCTTCATAAATAATCTGCTGCCTCTGAGTCTCAGAGACATGAAATTACTGTATGTTAATGTAAACAGAGAGCAGTGAGGAGGTAAGAGCGGGTGACGATGGTCACCCGTCATCCTCCGCCAGCAGACAGTCCAATCGGATTTGCATTTTCCATTGCAAGAGGGCAACCCAGTCATAAGGCCTATTAGAAGCACCAGCTGCCTTCAGTGTTGACCACAGACACCACCACTGATACCACCACGGACACCACCACTGATACCACCACAGACACCACCAAAGTCTGACTGTGGCTTCATCAGTTTGTTTAAATTAGAAAGGCTGTTTATAGGTTCACGGCACTATAACTGTGAAACAGATCATCATCACTGTATCTGCTCTGCTCGGAGTGCGACGTCTATTTATTAAAGTAAAAAAAAAAAAAACACATAAAACGTTCACACACACGGTCCACTGCTGTGAGCCGTGTAACCTCTAGCTCCAAGAGGAAAGTAGGTCAATCCCTGTGGAGTTCACAACAAGTCTCTCTCTACAGTGTTTGGGTCAGGGAGGGGGGAGAGGGGGGAGGGCGGGCAGGGTTTACTCCACGTGACAAGAGTTGGTTGTCATATCTGTACTTCAGTGTAGCTCCGACACCAACTTAACCACCGGCAAAACAGGGACACCTCCATCTCCGGCCGCCCTCATCTGTTTTTTTTTTTTTTCTCAGTCTATTTTTACTTTGGCAGAGATGCTCTTTGTAGCTGAGCTGCTTGGAGATACACTGTAGACGAGTGTGGAGCTGCAGGATGCTGCTTTAGAATGGTAAACAGCAGAATCCACCAAATGCAAAATGCAGAAAAAATAGAATTCTGCGAGGTTTCCAGAAACATAAGAAGAGATTCGGTTTAGAAATACTCTTGGAGGCACTTCAGCTTTTTTAATAAAATAACCAGGCATGTTTCTTGGGCTGATGCAACTTCATTTGTTTTCAAAAACACTTTGTGCACAGGAAACTCTACAAAGAAAATCTCAAAATCCCTGAATCCTCTTGACCACCTGGGACTTAGCAGAAGAAAACCTCCCACATAGAAAATTGTTCCTTCGGCCAAAACTACAAAGTACAAATTGAACCTCGGAACGTAAACAGCTTCAAATGCGAACAGCAGCCAGTTTTTTCCCACCAGTGTAGAAAACTCATTCAAACCTGTTTTCTTCTGGTATTTTAATGAAGTAAAACACATCAAATCAAGAGGAATAATTTTAAAAGACATGATGATCATAAAGAAGCATAAACACTGAGATTAAAAGACCACGTGTCCAAACAGTCAATTCATATTTTAAGTAAAAGTTCATATGGACTAATCAGTAACTTTTCTTAGGTTCCGTTAGAAGTTTTAAATCTTTATTCAAAGCATTTAAATCAAGATAAAACACAGCTTGTCAAGTCTACAGTCATACGTAAAACATCAAGTACATTGAATTTGGCTTTAGCGTCTTAGCTCATCCTTTTTCACTGTCTAAATTAACAATGACTACCGAAGTTCAGTACAAAGTCTAGCATACTGCACTACAGCGCTAGCACTTTGGTCTCACGTCAAACTACATCATCGCTCAAACTCACTGAAACTCACCAACAGCACAAGGATACACTTTTGTCAACCTTCTAAAACAACTTCAACAAATATTAACGTCATTGTTTTGCATTATCACATGCTAACGTGTCATGTTAAAACAGTCCAATAAAACAAGACAAAAATGCGTTGTTTGGGCTTCTGTTAATAAATCGGATTAGAAACTGTAGTTTTTATCGACCCAGTCCATCTGTTAGCTTGGGTCAACCAAACTTTACATGTTTAACCCAGTTACACACTGAATGAAAGGGTACAACAAACAAACTTTGTTCATCATGTAAAATGGATTCAGTGACACAGATATCGTGAGTGAGATGTACTCCAATATATCAGTTATCTCATAATTGCTGTATCGCAATATTATCGTCATTGTGGGGCAAAATATTGCAAGGCACCTGCTAATACCCAGGGCTAGTTTGTACAAGAGTTTGATGCATTCACTCAGCTTTAGTTTGTTTGAGAACTCATGTCTTCTCTGATCCCTCTCAACAGTTGTTCAGTTTTATTCCCAGCCTCTAAGTCAACACACAAAAATCTGCTAAAACCAGTCTGTTTGTGTGAACGTGTGTGTGTGTGTACAGCCTAAACTAGCTGAGTTTTGCCAACCTGTTGTTTTAAAGAGCAAATTAAACAGAAGGGGGTGGGGTGGGGGTGAAACCACTAATTGGGAGAAATTAAATGTATGACAAATGCATTTGACAGGTTTTCATCGACCTGATGTTGGTACTCAGCCACGCTGCTGAACTTGTCTGAGCCCTCTCAGTATTCAGGGCTACGTCTCGGATCTCCTGGATCACGTTATTGTGCACAGCCTTCACGCTCAGCTGTCAACTCTGTTCACACTGAGATCAGAAGTTGACACAATGCTGTGTGATGTAATCTCTGACTGACAAAAACAGACAGTGACAGGGACATTAGGAGATGCTCAGAGACGATAACAACAGATGTCACATCTGATGACTTTTGAGTCTTTTACTTTTGCAACTTTTGTGTGACGATATCAATATTTATTATGTTTCGTCAACAACTACAAACAGACTACAACAGGGGCCACATACAGCCTGGTCAGATGTCAAGTGGGTTTAAATTTTAAATTAAATTTTAAATATTAATATTTAATGAAATATCATTTAGCAAAACATTAGGTGCTTATGAAATTTTACTTTTAAAATTCATCAAGCGGGCCGGATTGAACCTCATAGCGGGCCGATTTTGGCCCGTGGAGCATATGTTTGACGTCCCTGGATTAGAACATAACTTACTGAGAAGTTAAAGTGAAGGTCCTGACGGGTTGAGAACTCCACATCAACAGGTCCCTCTGGACTTCCTGTTATTTGTATTAGTTTATGTACTCGGAGCACTACAACTTCCTCAGACAGTCCATAACCACAAAGTAAGGTCATTTGGACACTAAGCTGACCATGTCAGTCTGACAACTGTGTGGGAGTCAGTTGTTGTCTGTCTCTATACATGACCTGCAACGGTCCAGGATATACCCACCCATTTTTGATGATTGCCTAGATGGGCTCCAGCTGCCCCCCAGGACCCTAACAAAAAAAGGGGTTTGTTTGTT